CTGTTTACCTTTATATGCTTTGTTTGTTTGTTTGTTTTGCTGGCACTGGGGATAGAACCAGGGCCGCTCACATGGCCAATCAAGCACCCCACCACAGAGCTACACCCCAGCCCTTGCATTTGTTTTTTTTTTTTTTAAGAATGAGTCCACAGTCTTGACTGCTAATTTTATTTTTTTCTTATTTTAATATTTTTTTTAAAGAGTGTGTGAGAGAGGGAGGGGGGAGAGAGAGAGAGAGAGAGAGAGAGAGTGAGTTTTTTTTTTAATATTTATTTTTTAGTTCTCGGCGGACACAACATCTTTGTTTGTATGTGGTGCTGAGGATCGAACCTGGGCCGCATGCATGCCAGGCGAGCGCACTACCGCTTGAGCCACATCCCCAGCCCTGCATTTGTTTTTTGATGGAGAATTGGGCTGAATGTGTATTGCTTAAGATGTAATATAAGAATGAGAGGGGTTGAGGTTGTAGCTCAGTGGCAGAGTGCTTGCCTAGCATGTGCGAGGCACTGGGTTCGATCCTTAGCACCACATACAAATTAAAATTAAGGCAGTTTGTCCATCTACAACTACAAAAAAAAAAAAAAAAAAGAACGAGCAAAGATAATTGGAAGCCTTTTATTGAGTTTCCCTGTATATGTTCCAATAGGGAAACAAGGAGAAAAATAAATTACATGAAGTCAGCCTCCAGACGTCCCTCTTACTGGAAGTTGATTCTGTAAATAATTCTGATTGGATTTTATCCAAGGTAAAGGCAAAGGGGAAGGCATTGTTTGATGACATGTGGCAGTAGGCTGAGAATTTTCACCTTGGGGATTATATGCTGAACATAACGGATGTCCTTGTCATCAAGTTGAAGCACAGCTTGTCTAAACATCCTTTTACCTACTTGTGATCAAAATGCCGTTCGGTATTTTGGGCCAGTTGTCCTTGAACTTTCTCAGTGATACAACATGAAACCTAATTTCTGTGGAACAGAATTGGCCACCTTACTTCTGAAGTGACTTTTGTCAAACATATCCTGAGTGTCCCAATGACAATTTAACATGACCTCAGGAAAACCTGAGACCTAACATCAGATAGCTACCCATGTCTGACAGAGAGTGGCACCACAGATACATTTTGGGTCCTCTCATTCTGCATGACTTTTTCCCAATGAATAAATCAGGACTTCTGATTCTGAGTTTTCTCTGTAAGAATATATTTTTTTAAATGGACTCAAATCCAAAATAACTGTAAGTCAAATACAACTGTCTAGATAATTCCAAATATTTGTGGTCCTGGGGATAGAACCCAGGGCCTCATGCCTGCTAGATAAGCACTCTGCTTATCTAGCATTGGGGAAAGTTGTAGTGGAAATTCAGTGGGAAAAGGTGAGAACAGTGCGCATGTTTATGTGGAGCTGCATGTAAAGCAAGTAAAACCGGGGAGGGCATGAGC